TGCTGTTTATTAAACACCTAATATGTTTGTTTTCTTACTGGCCCCTTCATATACTGTATCTCAATGAACAAAATCTCAATTTCAAGAACTACCCAGTTGTAGGTATTATTCCCATTTACGCTTGAAGAAATAGAGATAAACTGACTTCCTCATGGTTATAGAGTGGGTATGTAACTGATCTGGCTTGCAAATTCAAGTTTTTGGCACTTCAAAGGCCATGTTTTGACACAAGTCCTAAAGCATGATGCTCCAGCAAACCATGAGCATCCCAAGAGAAACTTCTTTCTCAGTTTGGCTTCTCCTCTTTCTGCAGAATGAAATGTTAGGTTGGGAAGGTTAGGTTAAGATGTAAGGGAGATGCTACCCTGCTCCATCCAGTCCTCGAGGCCCTTCCCTCACAATGTAAATCAAAGTGGTGAAAAAGTCTGCAGTATCTAGTTTCTAGGGAATAACCATTGGTTTGTCTTAAAGTTAGTTCAAGACTCTACCATCACCTTCAAGTGCTGTAAGGATATCAGACTTCATGAGAGATTTACTGCCAGGCTGAGCTCTAGTTTCAGGGATAGTCTTTATCCCTCCTCTAGGAAAGATCTTCTGATTTCTACTTGGTGTCCTTAGAATAGCTTCAGACTCCAGGGAGGCCAGACAATGAGCAAGAGCAGGACTTGGACACGAGGGACACAGACTCAGTGGGAAGGTGTGTCTTTCTCCTTAGACCTCTCTGGACCAACTCTGACATGGCAGGGATAGCTGTGCCTAAATTTAGACTCTGTGTTCATCCTTTTGAGACAAAGCTTGCTATTTCCTTCTCCACTGAGGGAAGTGAAAAGGTTGTTAGTCCAGGTGGAATTCCCAGAAGCTCTGAATAGAATGCTTATAAGTGCTGGGCCTCAGAGGCATTTGCAGAGCCCCAGGCTCTTGCTCTCTGACACTACCCAGCCCAGGTAAGAGCATTTTAAAAAGGGGAATTTAGGAAAGAAATGAGGATCATTAGGAAGAGTTCCCAGTCTGTAGGGATGAACAGACTAAGGATACTTAGGTATCCTACTTTCGATTGTGCTCTTGCATAAATATCTTGCAAGATAAGACTCAAAGTAAAGTAATTCTCTCAAAAGGGAACTTCAAAAGGGTGGAGTCCACTGAGCCACACACAAGGAAGCTGAAGGAGCCTCTAGTCCACTAATACTGATACAAGTCCCTCCAAAAACATCTCCAGATGCTTTATTTTATTTGAGTTTAGTTTAGTTTCTATACTATTTTAATAGTAGGCACTTTTATTTTGCTTTATTCTACTTTTGAAGATTTAAAAATTGTTATTCAATGATAATTGTCCCAATTTTCCCCCTTTGCCCTTCTTCAGGTGCTTTAAATAGGAACAATATTTTATTCTCACTCAAAATAGGTAGGTACTGTGCTAGCATATGCATTACACTAGAGAGCAAGATAGGCCTACTTTGTGTTCTTATGGAGCTTAACATTCTGTTTTGAGAAACAGGCCTGTAAGCAGGTGATTTGGAGCCCTATGTGTGCTGTACAAAGACGAATGTAAAGCACAAACTAAGAATTGGAGCAGGCTGTTTTAAGGTAACATCTGTTGGGGCACAGTGCCTATGTAAGGATTATCCAGGTAAAGGAGATGAGAGTATTTCAACATCAGGACACAATTCTCAGAGGCAAAAGGACATAATGAAGTTCGAAGTGGAAAAATTCAGCCTTTTTGGGAAGCAGGGGGCAGGATGGGGAATGGTAAAAGCCGTGGTCGATGTTGGCAAATGTTTCTGGGTAGAGCTCAGGTGGGAGATCGGCCTTCCGCGATTCCTTCTACCCTCACAGTACCCATGAACGGGAGGTGCAGTAAACTTTTTCTATTGTGTTTAAGGTTGAAGGCTGCTTCTGACTAGGGAGACATAAATTAAGGAGTGTTAGGGCCTTAAGGAAAGAATGGGCGCCACCAAATGCTCAGCTACCCCCATCTAGCAGCTAAAGTGCATCTCTCCAGTTAGGGGTGCCTTTTTCAGTTTCATGATGTGGATAGGAAGAGGAAGAGATGAAATGGAGAGGAAATATCCATCAGGAAGCTAGCCCTACATACAGTCAAGTATGGGGAAGGAAGGTGAGAGATAGGGGATAAAAATAAAATCCAAATTTTCCAGGGCTTACGGCCAGTTTAGAGGATTGAGTATATTTAATTTGGATCTAATAAGGTCTGTGATGTAGCAGAGGCCTGAAGACTGCTTGCTCTCAAGAGAAATCACATGCCCATAATTCACTAAGTGTACATTTATCCCTGTACTTAATTTTGGCTGAGAGATCCTTCTACAACATGGCTTTTATGTTCAAACCTAGAAGGGAACCACTGCCCCTGGGTGACAGGACTCAAATGGCATCAGAAGGGAAGACAGACTGTTAAAACAGCTTCCTCACCAACAGAAGGAGAGTAACTTCTATAAGGGGGTATAAGCATGGGAACAGAAGAAAAATTCACTTGGCAAGTCCTGCTGATTTTTCCATTTCAAGAACTCTTGGAGTAGCCCTGGCTGGTATAGCTCAGTGGATTGAGTGCGGGCCTGTTACCCAGAGTATCATGGTTCGATTCCCAGTCAGGGCACATGCCTGGGTTGCAGGCTGGTTCCCTGCAGGCCAGTTCCAGCAGGGGATGCACGAAAGGCAACCATACATTGATGTCTCTCTCCCTCTCCCCTTCCCCTCTAAAGATAAATAAATAAAATCTTAACAAAAAAGTACTCTTGGAGTAAAACAACATTCTCCACATGATTATATCTTTTCTTAGCATAATATCAAGTTATACAAGCCAGTTTATTATAGGTAGGTGAAGTAGATAAGTTCCCTTATTGTAAATATATAAAACATGGTAAGGATCACTTAGCTCTGACCACCATGAAATTATAGCTCTTTCACTTTTAGAACTTGTTGTAAAGTTTTCAGCTTTTCATATTATGTGTTCTGCTAAAGCAGCAGACAGCTTTTCAAGAGACAATACTGGCTGAAGACTGTATGCTATTGGTATCTGGTCTGATCAATCCATCAGACAACAAGTGGCATGGTCAAGGGGGATGGTTGGAGGGATGTCTGCAGAGGCCTGGGCAGGGTTAAGGAAACTGACAAAGGATGGTGGAACACCAGCAATGACAACAGTGAATAACCCACCTAACTCCAGCCTGCTCAGGTAAGGGAAGATGTAGTTGCCACAGCACTTTTGAGGAGCTGTGGCCTTTGGTAGAAAAACTCAGCTTTATCAATTGTGTCTGGCAGAAGGGAACTGGGGAATAAATCCCTGATCTCTAGTCTCCTCCGCTATCTCCTACTGGTGCCTCACATTGACTGAGCTGACCTAGAAGCCAGAAGAGAAGATGGGTAATGGAGCCTGTAAACGTAGCTTCTGGGGACACAGGACAGGGATTGGGAGGGACGAATGGAGAATAACCAGTACATAGGGTAAGGAAACCGGGGGGGAAGTCCCTTGCCTCCTCACTTTACCTGGTCATTTCAGTCACAGGCTGGCTCCTGGGCACTGATTTCCTCCCATCCCTGATGATTCAATCTATAAAAAAAAATGTTTTTCAACTTTTTTTCTTTAAAAAAATTAAATTTATTGAGGTGACCTTGGTTAATAAGATTTTATAAGTTTCAGGTGTACATTTCTTTGGTACATGATCTGTACAGTGCATCATGCGTCCACCACCCAAAGTCAAATCACCTTCTGTTGCCATATATTTGACTCCCTTTACCTTTCAGTGCCCCTGCCCTCTTTCATCTGGTATCCACCAGGCTGTTGTCGGTGTCTATGAATTTTTGTTTGCTTTGCTTGTTTGTTCATTTGTTGTATTTAGTTTTATATCCCACATAGGAGTGAAGTCGTATGGTTGTTAACTTTTTCTGTCTGACTTATTTCACTTGGCATGATATTCTCAAGTTCCATCCATGTTGTTGCAAATGGCAGTATTTTACCTTTTCTTATGGGTGAGTAGTAGTCCCTTTTACTGCTACTGCCAACACTCACTCTATTTCCATTTGCAGTGATCTGTAAGAACCTTGAGATGGAGGAATCACAGCTTATGGAGAGGAATTCCATGGGATAAAGTCACCCCAAAAACAGGCTGACAGAGTTGTCATTCTCCAGCATCATGCCTCCCTGCAGAGAGAAACATTGCAGAGTTCTTTGAAGTTTATTGAATATATTTTTGGTTTTACATATTAGTTCTAAAGAGAGCTAATGCTTGGTGTTACTGTGTCTGATTAAATAAGAATGTATCTCATTTATTCTTGACTTCTCTAGGTCACAGCAGTGTAAGTTTGCTGTGAAATGAAGTCAGTCGTATTTAACTAATGAGATACAGTAACTTGCCTAAGCTCCTATTGCCAGGATCTGAAACCAGATCTGAAATATTCTAAAGCACAAACTATTGACTACTTTACTATAATCAGTTCAACTAGGCTCAAAATGCGGAAGACAAGCCTTCTCTTCCTTGACATTCCTGTCATATGCATAGGTAACACATTCTGGTATTTTTTAGACCCCGGAGTGCTAAATAAACATTAACTGCCATTTGTATTTCTCAGCATCAATGTGTCTCTTTGTTTAAGCAGTCCTCACTTGGAAACCTTCAGATACGATCCTGATAGACACCTCATAATTCCCCTGAAGAGTTGAATGACTGAATAGATACCTGTCTGCCTTAGGTCATTTCATTCATTGATGTAAGAACTTACTCCTTGAGAGCCATACTGCAAAAAAAATGCTCAGACATTTCATTCAAATATGTATTTTGGCTTGCCCTTGGTAAATTTGTGGATATTATAACCATAATCACACAATGTACTGTGACATTTTGTAATTTCTTTAGAAAAAGAAGTTTATAGCATCTTATTGATGATCTTATTCTTTACTATAGGCTGTAAGAATACTCTTGTCTTTTATTTTTAGGGAAAAAAAGTTCTACTGCATTTTCAAGCACAAGTGAAAAGCCATCCACTTACGAATGACTATGCTCACTTTTCGTAATGTCTGCTCAGTACCCAGCTCCTTCCAGCTGACTGGCATCCCAGGGCTGGAGTCCCTGCACATCTGGCTCTCCATCCCCTTTGGCTCCATGTACTTTGTGGCCGTGGTGGGGAACGTCACCATCCTGGCTGTGATAAGGGTGGAACGTAGCCTTCACCAGCCCATGTACTTCTTCCTGAGCATGTTGGCTGTCATTGACCTGGTTCTGTCCACTTCCACCATGCCCAAACTGCTGGGAATCTTCTGGTTTGGTGCTGGTGACATTGGCTTGGATGCTTGCTTGGCCCAAATGTTTCTCATCCACTGCTTTGCCACAGTTGAGTCAGGCATCTTCCTCGCCATGGCCTTTGACCGCTATGTAGCCATCTGCAACCCACTGCATCATACCACAGTGCTCAGTCCTACTATGGTGGGACGTTTGGGGCTGGCTGCCCTCCTCCGAGGTATACTCTACATTGGACCTCTGCCTCTGATGATCCGTTTGCGGCTGCCCCTTTACAAAGCCCGTGTCATTTTGCACTCCTATTGTGAGCACATGGCTGTTGTCTCCTTGGCATGTGGTGACAGCAGGGTGAATAATGTCTATGGGCTGAGCATTGGTTTTCTGGTGCTGATCCTGGATTCAATGGCAATTGCTGCTTCTTATGTGATGATTTTTAGGACTGTAATGGGGCTGGCCACCCCTGAGGCCAGACTTAAAACCCTGGGGACCTGTGGTTCTCACATCTGTGCAATTCTGATCTTTTATGTTCCCATTGCCGTTTCCTCCCTTATTCACCGATTTGGGCACCAAGTGCCTCCTCCAATCCATACTCTGTTGGCCAACTTCTACCTCCTCATTCCTCCAATCCTCAATCCCATTGTCTATGCTGTCCGCACCAAGCAGATCCGAGAGCGTCTCCTCCAAGTCCTGAAGATAGAAACTAAGATTAGATGACTATGACTGCCTTCTCTCTCAAATAAGCATGTGGAGAATGTGCTTAAATATGGTGGGCAGCCTCCCAAATGGGAACTTCAAGGAGTCTGAGATATTAGGCCCAATGATCATCAGCTTTAGTAATTCCAAAGGAATGATAAGAAACAATGTCCAACTCTAAATTCTAAGAGTAAAAAAATGTTTGTTTAATGACTATAGGATATTTGATCTGTAGAAGGCATAAATGACAGTATCAGTAACAGAAATAGCAATTATTTTTTACTCAGCAATTACAAGTCACAAAATTCTTATGAATATGCTGAAGTCTTATGAGGTACATAGTATTGTTCACATTTTACACACAAGGAAATAGGACAGGGTACTCTTGCTTTATAAACTGCATCTATAGTTTAAGTTGCCTAGGTCAAGTGTTTTGATTGGAGTTTATAATGTATCGTGGTGTTATATAATACTTTCTACTCTGTTTTCAGGGTATGCTTTAGTATAAACCTTAAAAATCTTGAGTCATTTCATTAAAGTTGCCTTAGCTACAAGAGAAACATTTTCTGATTTAAGAGTTTAACAGTTGAGATGCTGCGAAAACCATTTGCACTAATACAGTGTGGAGCGTTCTAAAAAAAGACTGACTTGTAGGCCTGGGTGGTATGGAGAATACCACTCATGAAATAGAATGTGGCCTGGAAAAAAGTATCAGCTCAATGAAGGAAATGAGACAAAGTTACCATCTCTCAACACAGCTCACAACATTCTCTCTGCAGGCCTCTCCCACCGCGTGGCCTAAGGCTTGTGAGGCCCCATGGAAAGACACACCTTCCTCTTCCCGCAAAAACTCTCCTTAACCCCTGAGCCCATCTGTAGGGTCCCTGATCATAATGTGCTTTTTAAAAATGGATCACAAAGTAAGATAAAGTTTTGAGGTCTGGTATTTATAGGAACATTGGCTTCACCCTTCAGGTAGAAAATGGATAATATATGTAAAGCACTTATTTCCTTAGCTGCTATGGGTTGAAAATTACTAATGTGATTCTCAACCATACCAAAAAGGCAGAAATTACTCTCCCTAAATTTAGATGAAATTGATGTTCCCAGAAGTGATAAAAGATTTGCCCAAGATCACGCTTATAAGAGGTAAAAATAAAAAATTAAGCCTTCGAACAAACTCTAAAGCTTCTAGTCTTTCCATGGCCTTCGTTTTATTTAACTGTGGAAAAACTGAATGACCCTTCTCCCAAGGTCTGAATGGTTGTGCATTTAACATTTCCAAATAGCAAACATTAGCTGTACCTCTATGCCCAGCACTGAGAGTACACAGATTAAAAAAGCAGTTTCCTTTCAGCGTTCCCTTCTCAGAGGGATCACAAAGGGTGGATGGAGCTGCGTTCAGTATGAGTCTTGCTACAAACTCTGTAACACATTAAACTAAACAGGTGAGAAAATGTTGAGCTTACTAGGTTTTAGGTATACAACAACTATCATTGGGCAAAGTATAAAGGGAGGTAGTCTGATGTGGACTCTGTCCAGCAGGGTCCGTATGCTGTGGATGAGATGAACCAAGTCACACAGGCTATGGAAGTCCTGTGGAGGAAAAGGGGTGGCATGGCCACTCTGAGACAGAGAGCGCCCCGACCCCTGCCCGGAGAGGCTTTTATTGCTTTTCTGGGAGCATTACCTGAAGGAAGGTCTTCATTCATCATTGTCAGGCAGTAAGGATCAAATAATAGATAATTTTCAAGGAACTATGAGGGCTTATTCTGAGTCAGGGTCAGTTAGCTAAAGGGCTGTAAAACTTTGGGAAACAAACTCATTTCATGCTTGGACCCTTATCAGAAAATTGAGTACATTCTTAGCAAAGCAGGTTTCACAGGATTTTATGCATTCTTTCTTAGGCTTGATTGCCGGGGAACCACCCTTTCCAGCACAGGGCTGCACCTCCTGTCAGCATTGTTTCAGGCTTAAGTCAGGCAGGAGAAGTAAGGCAGGCAAGAGATCAGGAGACTTCTCACAGACAGAATGAGGACTCAGACTATGTCAAAGCTGAGGGGTGAGGGTCCATCATCCCCTTTTTCTATAGCCCCCTAAGTCCTTCCCTGAGGACCTCTTCATGACCATGCCTATTTTAGGTCATTGCTCCTTTGAGGAATCCTACCCACTATTGGCTAACCAATCAAGCTTTGTCTCCTTAGTGGATTATGGTCCCAAGGTCTCTCACTCAGCCTTAGCCTTGGGGGGGGGGGCGGGTTACAGCTTCTGAAACCAGGCAGGGTGGTTCCCAACAGTAGTCAAGTGCAACAGAAAGACCACTACATAACAATTGCAAAAGTGACTCCTGGTTTTGCTTTGGCTGTTCCAATAACTTCCCACTACTGGGAGATCTAGAATGTGTGATCACCTAAGGTCCCAATTACATTCACATTTCTGCTAACACCCCTAACTTCCATCTAATGACTCCATCATGGTATTTAGTTTCCCTGAATATTATGTCTAAGTTTGGAGGAGTCAAGTGTTCTTCTACCTATGGATGGAGAAGAAAATAATAAGCAAAGTCCTGTTTTACTCATGCCCACCAGAGTTGGGGACCTGGGGAAGATGTTTAGAGTTAGTAGCAACTACGTGCTCATTGGTTCTTATTTGTGAGAACATGGATGAACCTAGAGGGCATTATTCTAAGTGAAACAGGACAGTCACAGAAGGACAAATACTTCATGATTCCACTTACATGAAGTGTCTAAAATAGTCAGACTCATAGGTGCAGAGAATGGAATAGTGGTTGCTAAGGACTGGGGTGAGGGAGAAATAGAGAATGGGTCCTGAAATGGATATAAAGTTTCAGGTATGCAAGACAAAAAAGTTTTAGAGATTTGCTATATAACATAGTACTCATAGATAATTAATAACAGTATTGTGTGCTTTAAAATGTGTTAAGAGGATAGTTCTCATGTTAAGTGTTTTTACTGTACATATACAACCCCTCCCCCACACAAAATAATACAAGGAAATTTTTGCAGGTGATGAATATGTTTAGTATCTTGAATGTGGTGATGGTATCACATGTGTATGCATATGTCCAAACTCACCAAAATATATACATTAAATGTGTGCTAATTTCTGTATATCAATTATACCTCAATAAAGCTTAAAATATTTAGGTTTAATGGCTTAAAATGAACACTTATTATGTCAAAGTTTATGTGGTCAAAAATCTGGGCATCACTGAGCTGCATGGCTCTGACTCAGGGTCCTTCCAAGGCTGCAGACAAGGTATCATCCATGGCTAGTCACCTCAAGGCTCAACTGAGAGGTGATCCTCCTCCAAGCTCACTCACATGGCTGGTGGCAGCCTCATGTTCTCCCTGACACTTCACAGAGGTACCAGTTTCTTGCCAAATGGGCATATCTGTAGAGCTTCTCACAATGTGGAAATCTGACTTGATTCATCAATAGTGAGGGCACTGAGAGGGATAGTAAAAGAGAGGGAGAGAAGACAGAAACCACAGTCTTCCTGTGACCTTATGAATGCTTTGTCACATTCTGTTTGTTAGAAATAAGTGGCCTGGTCTTTCCTACCCTCAAGGAGAAGTAATTACACAGGGCAGGCATACCAGGAGGTGGGCTCACTGGGGGTCATCTGAGAGGCTGCCTAACACACCACCCTCCTTATACCCTAAATTCTATGATCAAATGTAGAACCAACCTGAGTTGGTAAAGACACTTAACCGACATTAGCTAACTTCTTAGTTAACTTGTCCCACTCCTAAAAAAGTACCTTTTAATATAGAAAAAGAAAAGGGAAGTATATGTCACAGCCTGATAAGGACTCTCCTACTTGAATTATACCGAGGACAGCTTAGACAAACATCTTCTGGGTCCTCAGTCCCAGGCTGTCAGCTTGTAATCACAGCTGAGTCTACTTTCTAGGGCTATTCCTGCTCCACTGTCTTAAGTCCCAGAAACAGACTGAGAGACCTTTTTTACACAGAATGTTTAGCATGGAATATACTCAGAAAGAACATCGATACAGATTTTGCAGAGAAAGAAGGTGAATTACGAGGTACTTTCATCAGAATTCTCAGCTGATCAATCTTATGGGGAACCCTGGAGCTGAGCCAATCCTGAACACTTGTCCTGAGTGGTCAAGGGCAACAAGCTTTTCTACCCAGGGTTGGCCAGTCATTGGATGCAGTCATTGCAGTAGGAAACCACATAACTTAGGATGAGGTAGCCTCCTTTGGCTGAAGGTAATTCCTGGAGAGGAATGAAGCCATGAGCCCTCACTGGCCAACTCTCAGGGGCTGACTGAATGGGGTCTGTGTGGTGGTGCTACATAATCTACTGCTCAGGAACATTCATAACTGATTCATCTTCTGAGGGGACTTCTGAGGACGAAGGGAATACGCCCTCAGACTTTTCTGGGTTGGAGAATGGACTGTCTCATTATTGTTCCACTTACACTTAAGTCTTACTCGGAATTGAAATCAAGAGTTTGAAGCGTAATCTGCACCCATGTCCACTGCAGCACTATTCATAATAATCAAGATGTGGAAATAACCCAAATGGCCATCAGCAGGTGACTTATTATCCTGCACTTAGTATCATACTTCTTGGTTAAGAAATGAAACAGATGTAATAGAAGTCATAATTTTAAAATGTAATTAACATTAAGGATAAAGACATAAATAAAAATGAATGAGATACAAGGTAAATGGACATTAGAACATACGTTCACTTCCCAATTTGTATTGTCGCTTTTCATTCAAACATGAAATAAATATGAGAAACATAAATTTGAAAATAAAATTAAATGCTCACTTAAATTTTGTTTGTATTTATTGGTTAGCTTTCTAGCAATAGCTAGCTTAGGGAAGGGTGTGTGGAGGGAGTTGGAGGTAAATATTCTCATGACAGAAAGCCAAAGGTCATATGTAATTGATGTGTCACTCTCTAAATCCTGATCTCAAGAGACTTGTTAAACTGATACAACTCTAAGGAGAATTATTCTGCTG